CCAATCAAGTTTATTGTCAAAATGTAAAGACTTTCAGCTGTTTGTCATGAACAAATTAAACAAAATCAATTGAAATAGCTCAACGCAACAAATGCTTCAAGTGGTTTCCCCATAATCAACAGAAAATGCAACTTATAATGACTCCAGTCTCAAAATTATTCATGGCAGGCATCTTTGTACTTAGTAGAGCACCCTTTTGCTGTTATGACCTGGTGCAAATGAGAAGCATAGCCAGACACCATTTTCTGGCAGTGTTGCAGAGGAATCTTAGCCCATTGCTCATAAACAATGGCTTCCAGTTCAGTAATATTCTTGGGTTTGCATTCTGCAATTGCCTTCTTCAAATCCCACTAAACATTTTATATGGAATTCAAGTCATGTGATGGTGATGGCCATTGTAGAATTTTCTAGGACTTCTTCTGGATGATTGCCTTGGTGGAATTTGAGGTTTGTTTGGGATCCTTGTCTTGTTGGAAAGTACAATGACGTCCAATCTTCAGCTTCCTCACAGATGGCATGAGGTTTTCTCCTAGGATACGTCAATGAATCCATCTTGCCTTTCATACACTGCCATTTTCCAGTGCCAGAGGATGCAAAGTAGTCCCAGAGCATCACCAAACCACCACCATTCTTAACTGTACACAGAGTGTTCTTTTCCGCATATGCTTCATTCTTCTTCCTCCAGACATACCGATGATCCATTGGGCCAAAATGTTTTGTATCATCGCTCCACAGAACAGAATCCCAAAACGTCTATTTATATGATTTTGAGCATATTGGAGCCAAGTTTTCAGGTGCTTTTTGGTCAGTATTGGTTTACGTCTTGCAGTTCTGGCATGGAAACCTTCTGCGTTTAGTACTGCACCTTACTGTGCTCACTGAAACCTCAGTGCCTGTTGCCACCAAGTCTTGCTGCAGGTATTTTGCAGTCATTCAATGGATTTTCACAACCTGGCAGCAATATCTATGGTATTCATGTCAGCAAGTAACTTTTCTTTTACTTTTGTGCTATGTATTTGGACTGATGAATACCATAGCCACAAGTTTGAGCACAAGGCTTGTTTTGGAGTGGCCTCTGTAAAGAGATACGTAGCTTATTGCTAGCTTAATATAGAAGCATAGACATTGATTCTGTTGTAAATCACAACAACAAGGAACACAATCTTCCATATCTAGTTTTAAGGAAATATAAGGTTTGTTTTTTTTAAGTTTTTCATGGAAAGAATACAGAAAGGGGTGATTAAGCAGGACAATTTCTTTTGAGTTTGAACACTATTTTGTGTAACCGTATAGAATGTAAAGCGCTGCGGAATAAGCTGGCACTATATAAATACCAATAATAATAATAATAATACATTGTCTTGGAAAAATCCAATCCAATACAAAACTTGACAAATACAGGAAATGTTAAGGGCCCTATTCCAGTGGGAACATATTATCTAGATGAATAGGAGGAGTGAGAAACAAGAAGCAAGGGCTGCAAAGGTGAGAATGGTATCAATACAGAGTGAGATGAGGGCATTTATTGGTTAAGTGGAATGCATTAGTTACTGAGAATGCTTTTAGTGAGCACTTAACGGAAGGGAAGTGCATTCCAGAGAATTGGTCCCGCATGAGAAAAAACCTGCAGTCTAGCACAGGAGGGGGTGATAATAGAAGATGCAGGAAGCAGGTCATCGTTAGACCTTATTGCACTAGTCAATACACGAAATAACAAGGGAGTGGATGAGCTGCTTAGTGGTGTCAGCACTCAGAAATGGGTGAAATTTGTAGATACTGCCTTGGTGGATGTTGCAGGATGAAGAAAGATTGGATGTGTGGGATGAATTACAGATTGGAATCAAGTGTAGCTCTAAAGCAGCAAACTTCAGATGATGGACAGATAGTGATGCCATCAACAGTGATAGAGAAGGCAAAAACTGGAGTAGAGTTAGTGGGGGGAATAAGAAAGAGTTAGGTCTTGGAAATATTGATCTTTAGGTGGCGGGAGGCTATCCAGGAAAATATGCCAAATAAGCAGTCGTTGACTTGAGGAAGGACAGAGGGAGAGATATCTAGAGTGCAGAGGTGAATCGGCATGAAGGTGATATCTGAAGCCGTATATGTTATTAAGCTTACTCAGAAATGAAGTATAAATGGAGAGTAGTAGAGAACCCAAGACAGAGCCTTGAGATACTCATATTGACACGAGCTTGAAAAGGATGAGTCACTAACAAATGTGACTAAAAAGAGGAATGATTGTTGAAGACAGAGAAGGTATTAGAAGTGAAGGGATGGGATCAAGAGTGCAGCTAATAAGGTGTGAACAAGAATGTAAATAAATTTCGAATTCAGTCATGGAGTGACTGGAGACGGAGAGGGAACATTGCAGATGGATAATCAATGGGGATGTTGAAGTCCCCAAGTATTAGTGATGGTACATATGGAGAGAGAAAGTGATATAGCCAGAGAGTGAAGTTTTCATAGAATCGGGAGGCTAGTCCAGAAGGGCAATAGAGGACTGCCACTCTGAGAGAGAGATGAGAGAACAGACGAATGCAGTGAACTGCAAAAGAGGAGAAGGGGTGAGATGGGAGTAGAGGCAGGTGCTGATTGGTTCAGGAAAGAGAGAGCAAGATCCCAACACCACCACCATGTTTTTCATCTTGCCTAGGGGTATAGCTAAAGTGGAGGACATCATGTGCAAGAGAAGCAATGGAAGCAGTGTCAGAAGAAGATAGCCAGGTTTTGGTAATTGCAAGGAGGTTGAAAGAGTTCAAAACAAACAAGTTGTACACACAGAGTGAGCGTTCACAAGAAAAGAAAGGGGATCAGCGCTGATGTTTAACATAAATGAAATTGTTAGAATTGCATTAACATCAAGTATTTACTGCGGGAGATTAAACTGGAGTATGGAATTTAGGGAAGTGTTATGAGGCTAGGGTTAGGAGAGATTTATCCAGCAGCAGGCAGTAATATGAGTGTGAGTGAGAGGATATGAAAGTGTAGGAGTGGGGACGATTGGAGACAGGAGAAAGAGACTCACATCCACACACTCTGCCACATAACATGTAACCTACCACCATCCGGTCATATACTGGCATCCAACCACACACCTAGCCATGTTCACCATCTAATCTCATACCCTAAACTTGTCACATTAACCATTCCAAACATACACCAAACTTCACATGTACAGTATGTATGAAGAACTTGGGTGCTGTGAGAAAACTGGCCTCCGGGCCGCAGGGAGATTAGATCTGGCCCTGACTGACATGCACAACATGGTGGCATGCATGTCATTGGTGACAATGATTGACAAGGAACATAGATGGCAGCACTCATCTGCAGGATAAAAGGGTGTAGATTTCTACATTTAATTTTCATTTCCACATCTCAAAAATATATACATATCTGTCATAGGTGATATTTTAATATAAAATTTTAATTCCTAGGAAGTGACAGCTCTCCTTTAAATATTTATGTTTAAGCCTAAGTTAGTATTAAAAGGAGCAGTTCCAGAAATTGACTTGTTCGTTTTCAACTGAGGAAATAAAAACCTGTTTATGTAGTTTAGTGTTCCCAAAATAAGATTTGTCCTAATTTCAGTTCAATGTTTCTTTAGTAACGATTTACAATTCTCCTGCATCTTTTTTTAGGTTAAGCATCTGTTCCCAATATCAGAAAAAGTTAGCAATGCTTACATGTCCATGATTTTCTGAGAACCTGCAGGACATATTTCTCTGGCAAAGCATATTCTAACATTTTTCGGAGAGAAACAAAAATCTTACATACTAACACTGCTATTTATCCTGAAGTAAAAAGATTTAAAAAGAAACTGTAACATTTCTTGTTGTTGTTTTGTCTGTTTGATTCTAAGCCATTTTTATTTTTAGTAAAAGAGATGTGTATTTTCAGATGGGGGTCAATGGGCATGCAGAATACCCAAAGAATACCACAGGGCTTATCTGAATACCAGCATGGTAATTAATGCATGGTGTCAGAATGTCTCCCAGGTAAGGGTTAACAGTGCTTAATATCTCTTTCTGAGTGATATTGTTTTGTTTAGTACTTCAATGTTTAAGGTTCCTATTATTTAGGATTGCCTATTTAAACATTATCTGTGGATTCCCCATTGCTCGATTTTTCAGTCTCACGCTGGATGTTTGCATTACATAACTACTTTGCTTTACAGCCTTGCATGTTGCCCATTTCTGCCAGCCTATTTCAATCTTGAATCTTATGCTGACTTTATTCTTCAGATTTGATATCCGATCTATGCTATTCAGACCTTCCATGTGTCTGCTTTTACTTGTTCAGATTTACCACCACTTCATATTGTTCTCAGTATCCAGACTATGGACTATAAAAGATGGAGAATCTAATAGTGCAATACTTAGAAATTGAAAAGAGAAATAGGAACCAGGGTATAAAATCGGGTTGCTAATGAAGCATGGGGGGTAACCCCTAGTAACTAATGCAAAGCTAGAAGAGAGAACAGAACAGATGTAGAGACACCTAAGGGTTAAGTAAATCAATCAGTTCCAAAGGTTCCCTACAAATGTAAAGCAACCCATTAGAAAAAATATATATTTTAAAACATAACTTTTAATAGAATGCCATCTAAAATAAATAACTAAGTATTGAGAACAAATAGATCCCTAATGGTAGATAATAAATCAAAATAGGAGAGAAAGAGAGCTCGAGGCTGAATAGTAGCACAGAGAGAGAGAGGATTCCTAATGGATCAAACTAAATCCAAATGTAGCAAAAGTGAAGTAAAATGTTAAGAAAAACTAACTCTCTGTGAACAACCTAATCATAATACTCATTTCCCTCAATAGTCTAAAGCCTACAATAGCTATTTACATATAACAAAGTAGCCTCTATTGGAGGATCGCCAAATCAAAGTATTCATCTAGTAGCTAGAAAAATGGAGAGGGTAGTCTAAACGGAGCATAATATTTCAATTGCTGCAGCATAGTCCCTAGTCTGGCTCCAACCACCCGCTCACTACACTAATCCCTGACGCGCGTTTCGCCACACTGGCTCTTCCTCCCCTCGGAAGAGCCAGTGTGGCGAAACGCGCGTCAGGGATTAGTGTAGTGAGCGAAACGCGCATCAGGGATTAGTGTAGTGAGCGAAACGCGCGTCAGGGATTAGTGTAGTGAGCGGGTGGTTGGAGCCAGACTAGGGACTATGCTGCAGCAATTGAAATATTATGCTCCGTTTAGACTACCCTCTCCATTTTTCTAGCTACTAGATGAATACTTTGATTTGGCGATCCTCCAATAGAGGCTACTTTGTTATATGTAAATAGCTATTGTAGGCTTTAGACTATTGAGGGAAATGAGTATTATGATTAGGTTGTTCACAGAGAGTTAGTTTTTCTTAACATTTTACTTCACTTTTGCTACATTTGGATTTAGTTTGATCCATTAGGAATCCTCTCTCTCTCTGTGCTACTATTCAGCCTCGAGCTCTCTTTCTCTCCTATTTTGATTTATTATCTACCATTAGGGATCTATTTGTTCTCAATACTTAGTTATTTATTTTAGATGGCCTTCTATTAAAAGTTATGTTTTAAAATATATATTTTTTCTAATGGGTTGCTTTACATTTGTAGGGAACCTTTGGAACTGATTGATTTACTTAACCCTTAGGTGTCTCTACATCTGTTCTGTTCTCTCTTCTAGCTTTGTAATAGTGCAATACGTTTCACTTGGTGTGGATAAAACAGTAAAATAGTAGAATTACATTCAAATTTGATAAAGCTTAAGTCAGCTCTGGTGTGTATGGCGTACAGCGGTAAAATCCCCACTTAAAGGATATGATGTGAGTATCAGGAACCTAGAAAATAAATAAAAAGGGAGAAGTAGTGCTCTCAATAAAATATAAATAATCAGTAAGATATAATAAAAATTATACTCACAAAGGTAGAGCAGGCTAACTGCTCTATGACAACAGCATCGGTGGTATGATCTCCAGCTGGGATTCTTTGGAGTAGGTTAAAAGATAGTTGATGCCGGGTTGTTTGTAGAAGGTCAAATAATAAAAGATACAAGTAATAATGTAAATCTATTTAATAGTTTTAAAAACAATTGCATACATCCAAATGCGTTTCGCCAATAGGCTTTTTCAATGGAGTAAAAACATACAACCTGGCTAGTTTTGGTTTTTATAAGAATACAATTAATAAAAATTGGCGTAAAAATTTCATCTTCCAATCACAAATCAATATAGATATACATATACAAAGCTTTATAAAGCTTATCAGATAATATAGACATAGCATTAAAATATATGTATTACTGAATTTATTAAGTATTTTTCAAGCATGTATCTGCAAAAATTTGCCCTGGTGGACTCAGTGGAAAACTTCTTGTACAGGGATATTTCCCATCATGCTTTTCTGTACTGGAGAGATAATTGTGTAAGAGTACACCTTTAATTACATTATCTCTCCTTACAGAAAAATATACAATAACAATATAGCATAAAAATACATAACATGTACAATATTCATCTGAACTTCCCGAAAGAGCGCACCATCTGGCAAAATACCGCTCAGATCCGTTCTTTAGAATAGAAAAGTCATTCGAATGAAGTTATGGACCGGTCAGCCACGAGACACAAGCCCCAAAATAGTTCAGCGCATTTGTAGGCTTTTACTGGTCTTCTTTTGGGAATTCATACGAATTACCCATTGACATTACATAGTTTTATACTGGCTGTCTGTATATGAGGAGTTCATGGAATTTTATTCACGAACGCCGCTCTATTTACACGGATGGATGTATTCATATGAACGGCGTGGAAGTCCAGCGGTGTTCACGAGGTCAAGTAGCCGATTTTAGTTCCAGGCACTCAACGACCAAACACCGCTGGGTGTTCGTGAGCAAAGAGGGAGGCCACCCATAAAATCATTAAGGTTTCTGCGGTTAAGATGTTACCAGTTCGTTAATTGGAGACACACGACTCCCTTGTGTGGTCTCCCATTTGGTGGTTTATTCGTTTTACGAACAGTATCTTTCAATTCTGTGAAACTAGCATACGAATGCCCTCAGTCTTTTATAGGTGAAAATAACACATGGACCTAGTCTTTGGTGTACTGAAGTGGCTAGGTTTGCCACATTCGACAAATGCCGAACAGAAAATTAGCCGCATGGGCGGTAACGGCTACAAGTGAACTTAGTCTAGGGCGCACGTGCGGCCATACGGAAAAGCCTGCATGCGCAATAAAAATAAGATATAAGGAGTTAGAGTAATAGGGCAACCATAATAGGAGGGGAATATAATACTGGTGCAGGGGCCATGTTGGGTGGGAAATACTCTGATAAATAAAACTGGATAAATATTAAAATAAAACAAAATATTGATTACGTAAAAATAAAAAGTTAAAAAATAGAACACTGTGAAGGTAAAAAAATAAAAAAGATGCAGAAATAAAAAGAATATATACATGGTCTTAATAATATTTATTTATTTATATATACTGTTGGAATACTAATAAAAACATACATAAAAAGAGATACATATAGTTGATAAAAATAAAAGTATACATGAAAAAGGGGATAAAAATGGTGGGTTAGAGTCTGTAAATGAAAGACCCATTCCATTTCACATTTCCCATTTTTTTATACCAATGCATCTAAGTTGTCTGGACCTTTATTGTGTGTAATAAAATGTTTGGATATCGAATGGTTTGGGTATCCATGTAAAATGTTGCAACAATGTTCGCCTAATCTTATTTTGAGCCTCCAACATATTGGAGGCCACAAGGGCATTGTAAGAGATAGATCACATTTTTGGTGTTACAACTGATGAAATCTTTAATATTGTACATCTTTTGAGTTCTATTGGACTTGAACTGAGTAGTTTTAGATTTTGTGGATGTGTCAGTGGTTTTACATACTTTACATCGCTTACATTTAAAAAATAAATACTGTGGTCTCGGACAAAAAGGAGGATTGATATTTGTGGGTCCTTTCACTGTTAAAATTAGAGGTTAGGATGGATTTAAAATTTTGGGCTCCTTTAAAAACAATATTTGGTCTGTCTGGTATAATCTCTTTGACGATATCATCTTGTTTAAGTAAATGCCAGTGTTTTTTTTTACTATTTTCTCAATTTGATTACTTTTATTATTAAAACCAAAGATAATCAGAAGAGTGGGATGATTGTCATTATGATTTTCCTTATAACTTAAAAGATCAGTTCTTTCTTTCTTTTTAATAACGTCTTTGTATTGCTAAGATTGGCTGGTGAGTAGTTTTTTTCAATAAATTTTTTTTTTTTAAAGTCGGCTTGTTTGTTAAAATCTTCAATCTGGGAACAATTTCACAATTTCACCGTAATCGTAGCAATTGGCTTTTCGGGGCACTTTCTAGCCATGGCTTGTGGTGGCAGCTTGACTGGCCAATGGCTGTGTTTGTGCACACCTTCTTACATTTTTTTTTAGCATTTAACCCCTTAAGGACACATGACATGTGTGACATGTCATGATTCCCTTTTATTCCAGAAGTTTGGTCCTTAAGGGGTTAATATCCCATATTTCTAAATCCAAAAAATTCATAGTTGTCCTACTATGCTCACATGTTAAAATAATTCCTCTATCATTGGTGTTAAGGTAATTCATAAAATAATTGAGTGAGTCCTCTGAACCTTCTCATATAAAAAAGAGGTCATCAATGTATCTAAAATAGGTGACCATGTTTGCCCGCCAGGCATGCTCCCCCCAGATGGCAGCAGATTCCTAATCTGCCATGAAGAGGTTAGAATAACTGGGGGCAAACCTGGTCCCCATGGCAGTTCCTCTCTTCTGGAGTTAAAAAAAATATCTGTGCCCTCTAAAATAAACTTAGTTTGAATGTCTGAGATTCTTTTTTAACTTTTTAAAAATTTTCCTAACAGCTTGACATCCTATATCATGTGGGATTATAGTGTATAATGACTGGACATCACAAGTGACTAAAATAAAATTAGGTTGCAGTTAAAATTGTGTAAAAATCTTAAAAGTGACATAGAATCTGTGGCAAACCTAGCCTTCAGACTATTTTGTTTATCTTTGAGTGTTGCCCTAGAAAGACTGGTTTAGATATGATGTTTGATGTGTTTGCTTAAAATGTGAAAGAGGAAATTCGTATGCTAGTGGCACAAAAGCCGCTAGCATTCATATGGTAGTTTCACCAACAGTGATTTTCAACACGGTTCGTGAAACGAAAAAAGTACCGGCTGGGAGCCCACACACAGGGGGTCGTGTGGCTCCCATTAACCGATTGCAGCAATGTATCCATTGGTTGTTAATTGATTCACAGGGTGGCCGTCGTTCGGCTACCCACCACGAGGCGGCGGCCATCTTGGATTCCCTTTTTGCCCATCGGTGTTTGGTCGTCGAGTGCCTGGAACTAAAATCGGCTACTCTACGGCACGAACACAGCTGGACTTCCAGGCCGTTCAGGAGTGCCAGTCTTTCGGTAGTTTTTCCCCACTTGTGTATTTGTGACTTTTATGAGGAATGTATATTTAAGTGTATTTCGTGCGGTGTTCTGCTGATTGTGCTGGGATCTGAGCGTTACTTTCAGTATGCGCTCAGACCCCAGCTATCTGCCGAACAGTCATTAGGTACAATGGCACAAATAATATGTAAAGTACGGATTTCTATGTGAAAAGCCGGTTCTGCTGTACGGAGGGATAATCTACTTCACAGGATATTCTAGTGGGAGTATCCCTCTCGTACAGCAGTGCATGGTGGGAGAAATGTTCTGTATGTTAAGTCCCCCATGTAGTCCCATACTGTACAACCCCTATAAAGTCAGTAAGGAAACCCCTTGCATGGGGAACCACATAAATACTGGAGCTTGTGAATAAAATCGTCAGTTGACTCCCAGAACTGTGTTTCATCCCGTTACTGGGGAGATTTGGGATATTGCCTTAATTTTCAGCGCTTTCCTTGGATTACCTTATTTTACCAGCGGAGATATTGGGATTTAATATTGCAGCCCCGCTACAGAATCTTTTAAATAGGACCTCATCAGTTTGACAGAGGGTTGAAGGAGAGTGTCTATGTATTGAGATAAATCACATAAAAGGGAGC